GTCTATAGTGGAGTCATCTCTATGGATTCCTGGACACCTCTCTAGCACTCTGCTTCTTCCTATTTCCGTGGTGTCTTCATTTATCATGGTATCTCTTTCCTTATTTTTCCATCCTGTTCCTGATCCAGCTAGGACCTCCCACTCCCCTAAGCGCTCTTTACCCCAACCCTTGCCCTCCACTACCCAGTTTGCTCATGCAGATCTCATCCATTTTTCTGTCGCTGTGCGATCCCTGTATCTTTCCAAGGGTCCTTTTTACTAGCTGGCCTCCCTGAAGCTGTGAGTTGCAGTCTGGTTATCCTTTGCTTTACATCTAGTATCCGCTTATGAGTGAGTACATACCATGTTTGTCTTTCTGAGTCTGGGTTACCTCACTCAGGATGTCATTGTTTTTCTCTGCTGAGTAGTACTCCATTGTGTATATGTACCACATTCTCTTTATCCATTCCTCAGCTGAAGGGCATCTAGGTTTTTTCCAGGTTCTGGCTGTTACAAATAATTCTGCTATGAACATAGTTGAGCATGTGTCCTTGTCGTATGATTGATCATTCCTGGGTATATGCCCAAGAGTGGTATAGCTGTGTCTTGAGGGAGATTAATTCCAAATTTTCTGAGAAAGTGCCATACTGATTTCCAAAGTGGCTGTACAAGTTTGCATTCCCACCAACAGTATAGGAGTGTTCCTCTTGCTCTACATCCTCTCCAACATAAGCTGTCTTTAGTGTATTTGATCTTAGCCATTCTGACAGGTGTAAGATGGTATCTCAGAGTCATTTTGATTTGCATTTCCTTGATGACTAAGGATGTTGAGCAATTCCTTAAATGTCTTTCAGCTATTTGAGCTTCTTCTGTTGAGAATTCTCTGTTAGCTCTATAGCCCATTTTTTAATTGGACTGTTAGGTATTTTGATGTCTAGTTTCTAGAGTTCTTTATATATTCTGGAGATCAGCCCTCTGTCAGATGTGGGGTTGGTGAAGATCTTTTCCCAATCTGTAGGCTGTCATTTTGTCTTATTGACCATGTCCTTTGCCCTACAGAAGCTTCTCAGTTTCGAGAGGTCCCATTTATTAATTGTTGCTCTCAGTGTCTGTGCTACTGGTGTTATATTTAGGAAGTGATCTCCAGTGCCAATGAGTTCACGACTACTTCCTACTTTCTCTTCTTTCAGGTTCAGAGTAACTGGATTTATGTTGAGGTCTTTGATCCACTTGGACTTATATTTCTTAAGAAAATAACAAGCTTACGTGATTGTGCATGTTAAGGTATAGGAAGGCAGGAAAGTGACATACTAAGAATAAAACTATCAAAAATGGGAACTAGAGAAAGTATTACTTATAAGTGCAAGAAAATTTTTTATTTACTGAATGTGCCCAAGATCTTCACAATAAAGATAATCAATGATTCCAGTTACCTTTGAATTAGGTCAGTAAATACCTGGAGAAAGCATCGTTAGCTAATTGTAAGTGGGACTGTGCACATTGCTATATAGCACACAAAATGAAGTGGAAATAACAGTCCACAAATTTTCACAGTAACTTGAGAAATTTGTATAATTTTAATGTGTACTTCCTTTATCTTGTTTGCTGTGTGTGCATGTATTCCTGTATGTGTGTGAATGTGTGCATGCATTTGTGTGTGTATGTGTTTGCATATGTGCATGTATGCATGCATTTGTGCATGTGTTTGTGCATGTCCATGTGTGTGCACAGGTGTGTGTGTGTGTGTGTGTGTGTGTGTGTGTGTGTGTGTGTCTGTGTTGACACAAAATCTCCTGTTGCAGGGGCTGTTGCAGAACTGCTGATCCTTCTGCCTCTGCCTTCTAAGCCCTGGGATTGCAGGCATATGTCACCGTGCCTGGGTTTCCTTGTTTAAAAGTAGTTATTTCTTGTTTCTTATGTGAATATTTATCTCGGGTCACATCACCTTTTAAATCAGTGTGCAGTCCTTGCTGTGGTAAAGGTGTGTATTTACCACTCTGGGTGTCAGGCATATATTTGTGATGACATCATTGTCACACTTGCATGGAGACTGAGTCCTTCAGTTTTAAGTTTACTAGGGAAACAGAGATCTTCACCTTGTACCTTCTACATTAAGAAAATCAGTTCTGTTCTTTCTAAACATACAATGAAACTTTTTTACTGTCTCTTAAATATGTCTTTTGAAAAGTTTTATTAAAGGTATGTGTGTGCATATGTATGTAGGTGTAGTGTGTATACAGTTCCCAGAGAGGTCCTACTGTGGATGATATCTGATCTTAATTTGATTTCTCAGCTCACATGCCCTCTTTGTATTCAAGAAGAGGGTCTGTCTGTAAACAGCTAGGACAGGGATCTAAGGACTAATTAGCTACTGAGGACTTCCAGTTAACCTCTATCTGTAGACTTCCTGTGTCTGAATGTCCCCCCCCCCCCCGACACTTCTGTATATAAACAGTACTGCTGCTAGACTTTCCTCACTGACACTGTGATATTTGTGCCTCTGGGTCTTACTGTGGTAATCTAGTTACTGTTTATTTTAGAGCATCTAAAGTGTGGTGATATGTGGCTTTGACAGAGTATAAAGTAGATATGTGTTCTGTTTGTCATCTCTATCTCGAAATCTTAAAAAGTTTAATTATGAATTATTCTTAAGCTTGTGATTATATAAATCACTGCATAATTTGTTAGTTTTGTTCACATTAATGCAGTGAAGCACATACCATTTTGGTATCCATCAATTGTTACGTTTATTAAATGTGACAAAGGTCACATGAGTGAAGATACTCAAATTAACAGTGATTACATTACCATCAAATCCTTAAAATTTTAGAGACATAAAAAAATCTGAAGTGTGTCTTTATTAGGATTTTTTATTTCAGTAGAAATATTTATCTTCACTAATTATTGTTTGTTATGACTTGTCTTAATGGTTGCGGTGGTGGTGTACACAGCAATATGCATTCATGTTGTAGAAAACTAGCTGGTGGCCTGAATTCAAAACCATTATTCAGACTATATACCCTTTGGGTTTTGCATTTACATCACTAAATCCTCATTTTTTTTTGAGACAGAGCTTCAGTATTGTGAGTTAAATTCTAGGTTCAGTGAGTAATTTACACTCTTTTCTAGCTCTCTGTCTCTGTCTCTCTGTCTCTGTCTCTGTCTCTCTCTCTCTCTCTCTCTCTCTCTCTCTCTCTCTCTCTCTCTCTCTCTCGTTTTAATTTCTCAACAGATGCCCATGCTTCATCTCCATATCATAATCCAGGAACTAAAAAGCTAATTAGTCATGGCAACTATTTGCTAAGTAAGAACTTTCCATATGGGGGATTTTTCATTTTTCCTTGATGTGTTACATGCTTTCTAGTTTGGAGCCCCAGTTAGCCATCTCTATTTCAGCCATGATCGGGGCATCTGGAAGCTCAAGTTGGTTGTCTTTTCTCCCCCTTCTAGTTCTTTATCTGGTTTACTTGGATAAGGAGCAGAAGCAGTGAGGACAGTGTTAGTAATCTAGTTAGAAATTTGAGAATATGTTGAAGGAAGCCATCTAAATCTGACAATAAGACAAAGTCAGCATTGCAAGAGGAAGGAACTATGGGGAGAATATGATTATTCACTAGTATTTACTAGAAGAAAACGAAAGACCAATGATCTTCATTTATAACGACAAATCAGATTTCAGCCCACTGAGCAGTACTGTGAGTTGACAGGCAGAATGTAAAGGGCCGAAGGACACTTGATCATTCTTGTTTTTGATAACAGCATCTGTAACAGGCAAATGGGCAGCTTTTCACCCGAGGGCTGCAGCAAGATTCTCATTTTATGTGCCACATACTAACATTGTAGCAGGCAATTTCCAGTTTCATTTCAACATTCCACAGAACAGCATTGTGAATGTGCCTGCGCACATGTGTATATGTATGTATGCACATGTGATTCAGAGTAATCTTTCACTAAACTACCTTGGAGAGTATGGCAGATACAGAGAGAAGGTGACCATATTTTTTTTTTTAAGTAAGTCCTTGTCTAGCTACTAGGAATAATACCTGGAGCGGTTACCACCTTCAAGATTTGTCCCAGCTGCTGAGCACCTCACTCTGATGGCCGTGCTGTTCCCTTTCTCTGGAGGCCTGGGATCCGGAGAACTAACGTCCCGACTGTGTTGGTGCATTGAAAGGCAGCTCTGTGCATTGGACACCAGTGTACTTGACTTCCTGTATCCAGGCCCATCTCTTTCTTTTTTAGTTGGGTTCCATTTTTCCTTTTATATTATTTTGTTCTGAATATACTTTTTTCCTTTCTATATAATAAACTTAGTATTCTTCTATTTTTTGAAGAACCTATCCATGGCAAAGAACTATGAATGCTAATTTATAAATAGATTTTAACCCTTCATTTTTTTTTGTAGTTAAAATTTTTCTTTTTTTAATTTTATAATTAATTTAATTTTACATATCAGCCACAGATTCCCTTGTTCTCCCTCCTCCCGCCCCCTGCCTCTGCTCTCCCCCCAACCCATCCTCCATTCCCACCTTCTCTAGAGCAAGGACTCCCCTGGGGATTCAGCTCAGCCTGGTAGATTCAGTTGAGGCAGGTCTAGTCCCTCCCCTCCTCCCTACACCAAGGCTGAGCAAAGTGTCCCAGCATAGGCCCCAGGCTCCAAAAAGCCAGCTCATGTACTAAGGACAGGTCCTGGTCCCACTGCCTGGGGGCCTCCCAAACAGTTCAAGCTAATCAATTGTCTCACTTATCTAGAGGGCCTGGTCCAGTTCCATGGGGGCTCCTCAGCGATTGGTTCACAGTTCATGGGTTTCCACCAGTTTGGCTATTTGTCCCTGTGCTTTTTCCAATCATGGTCTCAATATCTCTTGCTCATACAATCCCTCCTCTCTTTCTCACCAATTCGACTCCCAGAGCTCCACCTGGGGCCTGGCCTTGGATCTCTGCATCTGCTTCCATCAGTCATTAGATGTGAGTTCTATCATGACAATTAGGGTATTCGGCCATCCAATCATCAGAGTAGGTCAGCTTCTCAGACTTTTGGCTAAGATCAAGTGTAGTATTTGTTCTTATCAGTTAACCCTTCATTTTTGCCAAGGGTGTCATAACCTTTTTTTTAAAGATTTATTTATTTATTATGTATACAGTGTTCTGTCTGCATGAATGCCTGTATCCAGATCTCATTATAGATGGTTGTGAGCCATCATGTGGTTGCTGGGAATTGAACTCAGGATCTCTGGAAGAACAGCCAATGGTCTTAAGCTCTGAGCCATCTCTCCAGCCCATGATAACCTTTGAAGATACAGTTAGTATATGGGGTTCAGGTTTAAAGATCCAAATATGTGACGTGATACCAAAAAGGCCAAATATAGCAAGAATTGAAAAAGTTAATTTTGAAAAAAAAATCTAATAAAATATAGCATTCTTTTAAAGTTACTAAATTTTTATAGTTTTTAAAAATCTAATTCAAATATATACATACAGATTTAATATCCTTCCTATGTTTTACCATATTACTAGTGAACAAAATATTGTAGGATTTGCCTAATGTCAAATACTATATTACTCTTTTCAGGAAGAGTATATGCCCTTTCCTATCTAACTTGGGCATGGCATATTCCTTGCTTAGTTAATGAATTATGAGAATTATCACTTGCTTTTGTGTAACTTGGCCAATGCTTACTCACAAGTACTGTCCATCACCCCAGAGATTACAGTGCTGCGTGGTATTGTCTTTGAAGACATTTGATTTCTTCTCACATACATGTAACCTGTGGATGTTTATGCATGTACGTTTTTGTATATATTCTTATTATGTATTACCTGAATTTTTAAATTGTTTTGGACACACAGATTCAAGATCAGTAAATATGATTCTGTACTGCCCATTCCCATTTTTAAATGAATATACCCTGTGCATTAACATAAAAATCCCATACTTTGATATTGTTTCAAATTTGGCATAAATGTGCAATTTCAAATAAAATAAATCTGAGTGATGATCGTTTTCTGACATTTTTTAGTAGTCACTTGTTTCTACCCTTATTTTAACTTTGCGTAACCTCGTTTTCTCACTGGGGACTGTGACTCAGCTTTTGTTAGCACAGGCTTTTGTATCATGGGTGATATCAAGTGTGTGTGTGGTCACCTTCTTTGCCAAATGTGTCTTATGCTTATCTCCTTGGTAGAAATTATAGCCAGGTTCATATTATGAGTATGGTGATTGTGTGCCAAGCCCACTAATTAGTTAGATGTAAATATTGAGAGATATTTTACTCAAAACTCTCTAGTGTGACTGTATGAGATTATTTTTGGTATAATTGATTCAAGTTTGAATGCCAGTGCTGCCTTTTAAAAATTGGCTGAGGCAAATTTTCAAACGTTATGTTCACCCTGGAATCAGGAAAGCACAACCTGAATTCTTCTGTAACTGAGCAGTGAAGTTTCATTCTTTTCCTTGAAACTTTTTTTCAACAACATTTTTTCTTTTGTGTGGCAAATTGCATCAATCAAGAAAAGGAAGGGATGTTGTGAGCTCCGAAATACTGACTAGATGTTGGCATTAGAACCAAAAGCAGTGGTCTATGCTTCTAGAAACCTCAAGGTTTGTATTTAAAGTACCAAGTATTCTTGCTAAATATGTCATGTGCCTGGGAAAAGTTTCATTGTTGGAAGTGTTACAAGTGTCTAAACTTTAAGGAAAAAAAAGAATGAAATTGTTGTTTCGCTGTATTTGTGCCATCCTGGGTTATATAGTGAGACCCTGCGTCAAGCAACACACACACACACAGAGAGAGAGAGAGAGAGAGAGAGAGAGAGAGAGAGAGAGAGAAAGTGAGGGGAGAGGTAAGAGATCTTTACCTACAAGACCATATGTTTCATGTACACCGTAGGGACAGCTGTAAGTTCCCTCCGCCATGGCCGTAACAGACATTTTGCAGACCTTAGTGCTTGAGACGCCTTTCTCCAAACATGTGCCATTGTACATTGTGTGTTAGTCCAGCCAGGAGCAGGCGTTTCTAACCATGTTTTTCCCAGAGATCTCTCATTCAAGAGAGTTTTGATTGGTGCTATTTTGGAGTTTGTGGCCCACAGGCGTTCTTCCCCAGACAATCAGGCTTCATAACTAGACAGAAGAACTCCTCAGTATGTAGGAAAATTTTAATATCATTGCTTCTCATACACCCTTCCCTGTTGTCTTGGGAAAGGTTGCCGAAAGTACTGTAATCAGGCGAAGGGTCTGAGCGAGATTTTGTTTCCTTTTAATTGTGCAGAAGAAGAATGCTGTGGCACATGTTTGATTTCATTTGTATTTCTCTCAGAGTTGTTAGCAAATTCCTATGTAGTGAAGATGTTTTATTCATCTTTATGAGTTTTATAATCTTTTACTCATTTATAATGCCCTGGAAGATTAATACAGACTTTGAAGTGACTTGCAAAAAAAAAAAAAAAAAAAAAATCAAACCAACCAAACAAACAAAATGAGAAGAAAAGAAACAAAAAACTGAAACGGATCAACAAGGTCTAATATTTTCTTTTTCTCATAATGTGTCCTAAAATTAATATGTTTAAAATTAAAAATTATGCACACTTGAAACACTTGAAGGTTCCTGCAGTATAGTTCATTTTCTAAGTCACATGTCTCTTGTGTGGCCAGCTCTGGTATGAGTACTATCTTACCCTCAGTGAAAGCTAATGAAGAGGCCCTCCGGTCATCCTTCCATACATGCTGGGCACGCTAGCCAGGTACTGTCACCCCAGTCCTTGAGAAGGTGAAGCCAGCCTAGACTATATGGAGAGTTCCAAGCCAGCCTGACCACAGTGTGATATCTTTTCTCCCCACAACCCCCAACAACCACAAATCCAAACCAAACAACCGAACCAAAATGATTCTAGACTAGTCATGTTATTTACTGTCTTCTCTTTCTGGTCTTGATCTCTTCTTTCCACCTCCTGATCTCTCCCTGTTTCAAATTCCTTTTGCTTATTGTTGCCCTCACTCCATAATTTTATGGTCTTTAATATTTCTGAGAGGGTGGCTCCAAAAAGTGATTTCAGAATTAAGATATCCTGGAGTACTATTCCAGACCCTTTTGTTTCATATGTATATGTGTGTGTGTTATGTGTTTGCATGTGTGGGCATATCTATGTGGGGATACATGTGCAACATATGTGAATATGCATTTGGAGGCCAGAGGTTGTCTCCATCAATGTTTTATTTACTAAGTCAGTGTGTCTCACTGAACACAGAGGTAGCCAGTTCAGCTCATCTAAACAGCCAGCTTGCTCCAGGATCCCGTCTCTGCTTCCCATATTGGTATTGGAGATAGGTTTCCAGGCTCCCCTGACTTTTGTATGTGAGTGCTGTGATTGAGTTCAGGTTCGCGTGCTTACGTGGTAAGCACTTTGTCCATTGAATGGTCTCCTCCTTCTCTGTTTGGTGCCACTTTCAGGGGAGCTGGTCAGGCAACAGATACATGGCTTAGAAAATGAACTGTACTGCAGTGAGCTTCAAGTATGTATAATTTTTAATTTTGAGAATAATCCATTTTAGGACACACTATGAGAAAAAGAAAATATTAAACAATTTTAACTTCTTTTTGTTTTTCAAATTCTTATGGCAATTCACTGTTATTATATTCCATTCTCTATATCATTCTGTTTTTATTTTTCCTTAAAAACTCAACCTTCTCTCAAAGTACCACAAACATTTTGAAAAGTGATTATTTGAAGCTGATGCCGTTCGCTCTTCTTCTGTGGTTTAGGCTTGGGAGTGATTTGCTGTATGACATCTGAACCACACTAGGTAGTCCTGCCGTCCCTTGACTTTGGAGAGCACATTCAATACAGCTATAAATGAGCTGTAGAATATCTCATAGGTTTCCATAGATTTCCAGAATTGTCTCCATTTATACATTGAATTTGCTTAATTTAAAAAGGGAAGACTACTTGTTCCCCTTCCGAAGTTTCCTAAGACTCCTGTAGATGAAAATGCATTTGAGTTTAAGAATTAGCATCAGCAATATTGAAACTACTAGAGACACAAAGTATTGGAGCATGAATGTCTGCATTCCTTTTATGAGTCTGACTCCCTTTGTGGGGCTGTCTAATCCTTCTCCATATGATGTTATTCCCAGAAGTCAAATAGCAAGTATTTTGTTTTAATGGAAGGGATATTTAAGGTTGCTGGTTTTGCATGATGGGAATGTGGTTGGAAATGTCTCCTGCATGCTCACCAGCCCCAGGCTGCTCGTGCATCTTGGATTGAGAAATGACAGCTGCAAGCATTTAGGCAGAATTATGGACAGCCACACATAGGTTTATTATTACCACAAAGGAGGAGAAAATGTTAAATGATTAAAAAGAAATGTGTAATTCATTTAGAAGTAAACTGTTCCACACTGGTTATTGTAGAAGAATTTTTGTGTAGCATAATCTACTTTTGTCCTAATTACTTTTACCGTCCCTAGGGAATATGTGTGTGGTTTATTGAGAGAATTTCAAACATTTCCTGTGTGGTTTAAAACCAGATAAAAATAAAATAGTTTGGAAATAGGCTTTGTAATATTTGAAATAAGTTTGTTTAGAAATAGTGAAATATTTGAGAATAATGTCTTCACTTGTGTTAGGATATGTAGATTGAAGGCTATGTTGTCTCTTGTAATATCAGAAGCACAATACTTCAACTATAATTGGAACCTCAGAGGAAAGAGGTGGCACCTCTGTGCTAGTTTACAAATGCTTGTTTTTGTTAAAGGTGCTGGGGAGTTATAATGCATTGGCATTGTAGCCTGAATAATAGTTGATTGCTTGCTTAAAGTTGACCTAACACCACAGTTTAAAAAAATAGTTCTTTCTTATATATACTAGATGCAAACTCCCTTCATTAGTTGCCTAGAATGCCTGTGATTTTTGTCTTAAATGCTGTGGGTGGAGCTTTCTTTTGATTTCTCTTCATTAATGAATGATTCTCATATTTTGGAACTTGCATCATTATGATTTGATTAGTTATGATTTAGGACTGAAATAGGTGAGTGCTATTAAATTTCACAGGGAAAAATACAATTTCAAAGTCAATTTAAACCTGTGGGCTGCATGTAAGAGCAGTTTGAACATAACTGCTAGTAATTTGAAGTTTTAATTCTTGCAGCAATCTGGGTTGTTTAAAATCGAGCTTTTACCTTGAGGGAAATGCTTGTGATTGCTGT